CTCAACAACAATTTGGTTTTCTGATATATAGTTTAATCAAGAAAAATAAATCAGAACATTTGAATTCTTTTCTTTTAATGAACAATTTTAGAATAAGGACTCAGTGCTAGCTACTTGCAATATTGTCCAGTGGATTTTTTTTCTTTTTTCTTTTTTGTTTGCCTTCCCTTTTTGGAACATCATTAAGAACTCATGAATTTTTATATATTCAGTATGTTTCAAACAACTGCATTCATTACTTTTTTTGATGCTTAAATTGTTTATCTTTGGTCAAAGAAGCTACTTGATGTTGGTTTCTGTGTCCCTTTGACACATTTTGACACATTTTGTTGTTAATGGATTCCTGGCTTTGTGGCACAAGTTATCCTATGCTCATCTTGTGTATATCCTGACCCAGATCTGAAGTTAGACATTCCATTGGTCAGCCCTAGTTTCTTTTAGTTGGAAATTGTATTGAAAAATCCCAAACTGGATGATTTACATTATTTTTATTTGTAATAAAAATTAAAGGTTGGCCGGGCACGGTGGCTCAAGCCTGTAATCCCAGCACTTTGGGAGGCCGAGGCGGGTGGATCACGAGGTCGAGAGATCGAGACCATCCTGGTCAACATGGTGAAACCCCGTCTCTACTAAAAACACACACAAAAAATTAGCTGGGCATGGTGGCGTGTGCCTGTGATCCCAGCTACTCAGGAGGCTGAGGCAGGAGAATTGCCTGAACTCAGGAGGCAGAGGTTGCAGTGAGCCGAGATTGTGCCATTGCACTCCAGCCTGGGTAACAAGAGTGAAACTCCGTCTCAAAAAAAAAAAAAAAAAAAAAAAAAAAAATTAAAGGTTATATATTTAAAATTTTATTCCAAGGTAGTAAGTTTATAATCAAATATTTATGTAGTTAATAAACAAAACTGTAATTACTTGTTTTTTCTTTTTTCTTTTTTTTTTTTTTGAGACGGAGTTTCGCTCGTTACCCAGGCTGGAGTGCAATGGCGCAATCTCGGCTCACCACAACCTCCGCCTCCTGGGTTCAGGCAATTCTCCTGCCTCAGCCTCCTGAGTAGCTGGGATTACAGGCACGTGCCACCATGCCCAGCTAATTTTTTTAATTTTTAGTAGAGATGGGGTTTCACCATGTTGACCAGGATGGTCTCGATCTCTCGACCTCGTGATCCACCCTCCTCAGCCTCCCAAAGTGCTGGGATTACAGGCTTGAGCCACCACGCCCAGCCTGTTTTTTCTTTTAAGCTCACTTTTAAATTATTTTTATAAAAGAGGCTATACCTTGTTATATGTATACCTAAAACTGGATTAATAACTATACGCCAATGTTTCATTTTTTCCAGATGGTACAATTTATATTCAAAATTTTCAAAAAAGTTTGAGATGAAGTATATAAATGAAACCTCAAATGTTTTCACATCAATTCAAATAAAAATTTCAATTTCATCACAGTCGCTATAGCAAAAGCTTTGAAAAACGTTTTGGAAATGTCATGGTTTGATATGAGCTGTCAAATTTGAGTTTTAGCTTGGAATAAGTAAAGGGCTATAATTTCAGGTGTTAGCAGATGCCTGTGTGGAAGTACATGACTTTCAAACAAATGAAATGCAAAATGCCATTTGGCAGTAATTCTCCAAGTGAGGTTTGAGAACCTCTAGGGGTTACTGAAACCCTTCCAGGAGCTTTGTAAGGTCCTCCCTTTTTCAACTATGAATTTGTACGACAGTTAATTTTCTTCATATCTTAGGTATAACAATATATCACAACAGCCTGAATGCAGAGGCAGAATATAAGAATCCAGTGTTCTCCATTAAGCCAGATTAAAAAAAGATGTACAAAATGTTTAAAAAAACGCCACTTTTCTCTAAGTTTTTGGGGAAAATGTAGTCATTATTTATAAAAATAATTTGTACAGTAATATGTAATGAACTTAAAGTAAACAAATACATGTCTGACATTTTTCTATCTTAAATTTTATTACAGCAAATATGGACATATATATAACTCACATAACCGCTCTTTAAAGTTCTCAATCATTTTTAAGAATGTAAAGAGAACTTGAGATAAAGTTTGAGAACTGCTACTCTATGATATCTTGCATTATTTACTTACTAATGGTAAGTACGTATAAATAGGTGTGGATTTTAATATCTATATTGATAGAATTTGTAAGCTTAATTATTTTAACTTTGTTTAAATATCTCTTTGAATATTAGATTTGATGCCTAACTATAATTTAAATTGGTTAGGAATATATGACTCATTTTCTCCCTGATGGTATTAACAACAAACAGAGGTCTGCTTTAACGCATAAGGAGACAAAGCAAATATATTTGAACTAGATATATAAAGTCAAATATTCAGCTTAGAATTTAATAGATAAATCAGAATAAAATAGGATTCTCTAACTGCTGCTTCTTTTTCTCATAAACTTTTTTTCTCCCAAAGAGCAGTTTTACGTTCAGAGCAAAGTTGGGCAGGAAGTACATAGTTCCTACATATCCATGGACCCCACACCCGCACCCGTACAACCTCCCTGATTATGAATATCCTGTTGCAGAGCAGTATATTTGTTACAACTGACAAACTTACATGACATAATTATGAAGCTGAGATTTATATTAAGGCTCACTCTTTGGGTTGTATATTTTATGGCTTTGGACAAATGTATAATGACATGAATCACCATTATCATATCAAACAGAATAGTTTCACGGCCCTAAAAATCTGTGCTTCATACTCCGCTCCTCCCTGACCACTAGCAATCACTGATCTTTTTACTGTCTCCACATGTGATGGTTAATACTGAGTGTCAGCTTGACTGGATTGAAGGATAGAAAGTATTGATCTTGAGTGTGCCTCTGAGGGTGCTGCCAAGGAGATTAACATTTCAGTCAGTGGGCTGGGAAAGGCAGACCCACCCTTAATTGGGTGGGCACCATTTACTCAGCTGCCAGTGAACATAAAGCAGGCAGAAAAATATGAAAATTAGAGACTGGCCTAGTCTCCCAGCCTACAGCTTTCTCCTGAGCTAGACGCTTACTGCCCTCAGACATTGGACTCCAAGTTCTTCAGTTTTAAGACTTGGACTGGTTCTCTTGCTCCTCAAGCCTGCAGACAGCCTATTTTGGGATTCTGTCATGGTGTAGGTTAATACTTAATAAACTCCCCTTTATATTTATATATCAACGCTGTTAGTTCTGTCTCTCTAGGGAACCCTAATACACCATAGTTCTGCCTTATCCAGATATTAGCTTCTTGCTAAGTACACTTGATGAACGTTAGTGACAAAATCAGGCCAGACTTAGCAACTCTTTTTGCATTTTCATTTACTTCCCAACACAATAAAGGCCATAAACACCTGTCTTTGTTCTTTATTCACGTACATTTCATCCCAGACTGTCAGATCCTCCTCACTAGGAGTTCCATTTAATTTGGAGTCATGGTACCAAATAGTTCTTCACTGCTATTTGATGAGGGTGGTTCTGTCACCTAAGTGCTCTTGAAATTAAGTCCTTAAGCACTGGCAGAAAAGAGCTTACCTTACAGTAATTATTTCAGTGACAAGTAAGAAAAACTGGCAGATATCCCCTTCACAGGAGAGCAGTTTTCCTCTCTTTAGGAGACTCTTGGAGTTTTAGTTATCAGGACATTTAAGACTCTGAGTAGACTCTTAAACCTTTAGAATAAATTTTGAACTAAGTGTGCCAGCATGTATGGTATTTACATTAGTATTAAGTGATCTGAAAGTGCACAGAATAGTTTGGCAGTATTTAGAAGAAGAATAGAGATGGAAATAATGAAGATTATTTCCATCTTACTGTAGTAAGAAAAGGAGACCAAAAGTATTTTATGTATGTTCAGTACTTCTGGGTGCCACTGTTGCTGAACGCCTGGGGTTTAGCCTAGGTTGAGTTGCTCCTAGCACAGAAAACCAATCCCTGAGACAAAAAGTATTGCCAGGGAAGACAGGTTTTAATGCAGTTGATGCTGGCAGGGAGATCAATCTCAAACCTGACTTAGGGAGACTAAAGTTAGGTCTTTCTATAGCAGGGAATTATGGAGGGGTAAGGAAGAGGAGTTGGTGAACAGGCAGCAGATGCCCCTCCTTGTCCAGATGTAGTGATCTGAAAAGTTTCAGTTCCTTGATACTATCTGAAAGGTCTGGCAGTGTATCTCCTGAAAAAGGAACTCAGGTAAAATACATGCAAGTTTCTTAAATTCCACTTCTATGGGAAAATTTGGCCAGTTTCAGTCCTCCTTTTCTATTTATCAATTCCTCAATCATGGAGAATCTGGTAGTTGATCTTTCTGGCTGCTTCAGGTCAAGGAAGGGCATCTTGGGGTGATAAAAAATGAAAATATCACACCTGTAATTGCAAGTACTTATGAGTTGGTTGGTATCCAGCTAGTTGGAGTACCATGATTTGGGTATTACCATCAACATTTTAAGCCACATTGAATTAGGATAATTAATAATATGGATAAGAAGGTTTCTTTGCAGGCTGTAATAACCCAGTTAAAAGTTTGTACCATTTGAGAGCAAAAGCTTCAGTATGAAATTCCAGTTTCTCTCAAGTAAACCACCAGTCCTGTATTACTCACTTTGGTTTACCTAGAGGCAGCAAAATAGAATAGCTTTCCTGAGTGGAAAAAAAAAAAAAAATGCAACGAGGAGTGGCCCAGAGAGCCCTAGTGAGGTGCTTTGCCACTACTGCCCTGAGCTTAATCAACTGTGAGGACTCTCGGTTTCCTGACTCGTAAAACAAGGGGAGGAGCTGAAGGCACAGTCTCAAATTATTTTCGGTTCTTTATCGTCCTCTCACCTGTTAGTACGTTGCTGAGCTTAGTGCCAGAGCTCAGTAATTGCGTGCTGAATGAGCGTTGTTTCTGACTCTTGCAGATCCGGGCCGCATTTTGAGCCCGACCTGGGCGGGCGGTCCAAGGGCTAGATTTCCGCCGGAGGCGGAGCTTCGTGCGGCCCCCGCGCGCCGAGAGAGCGGGGCGGAGCTTGCCGCCGGCGGAGGGCGGGGTCTGCGCGGGGACTTCCCCTGGGCTGATCTGCGTAGCGGGTGCGGAGGGCTGGCGCCCGCCTTACGGCGGCGGGTGGGGGGCTGTGCGGTTGGAAGGTGTGGGCGGGCGCGCAGCCTCCGACCCTTGGTGGTCTCTTGGGCTTGGTACCCTTCCCTGGGTGTTGGCCCCGGCCAGGGCGGGGCGGGCGTTGCTGGGAGGCGGAGGGTTGCGCGGCCCCGAGTCCTGGGTGATCGCGAGCATGTGTGCGTGCGCGTGTTTATCTGAGGCGCGTGCAGTCGCCGCCTCTTCCTTGTTCGTCCTTTTCCTGGTTCCACTGGCTAAGGGTGGGAAACCGGCGCCAGAGGAGGCACACTTTACCCGGAGCCGGCACGCTCTTCCCCGCCCAGCCTGCGCCCTCAAAGCGCCCCCTTTCTCCGTCCTCACAAAGGGGACTAGTCCGCCGGCCTCCGGCCCTGGCCTTGAGGGAGCGCTGTGGGGGCGGGCTGCCTTCTGCCTGGAAGTGTTGGGCAGGTGGTGGGAGAGCCTCAGGCTTGAACAACAGGATTTTAAAGCACGTGTCTGTCTGTCGTTTTTTACTTTTAGGGTTTTGGCCAAATTGGGCGAGGGCACAAAATAACCACTTACCCCTTCTCACCGAGGAAGAGCGGGAGAAAGGGTAAGTAAGGAATGGTCAGGGGTGGAAGGAGCTAGGACTTTATCCAGAGAGCGAGCGTGACAGACGGGCTAGATCCAGAACTGTCCATGGGGAGCTTGGGCCCAGATTCTACCTTTTCATCAAACTGGAGGAGCCACCTTCAAAGTCACAGGCCCCAAGCCCCAGACAGTTTTCAGGCTCACACAGTCTCTAGAGTTGGCTGGGAGTTTAACAGCTTGGGCATGTGAATCCCTTTTAGGCTCTTGACCCGAAGGACAACTGCCTTCCCCTTCACCTGTTTTTACCTTAGTCTTCTAGTTACCTGTCTCTGGCCCCGTCTTCTTAGCCAGCTTTGACTAATCCCTGAGATCATAGCACTAAGGAATCCATCTCCTGTTTGATAAGGAACAGTAACCGTCCGGGCCGCCTGAAAACATCCTTTAGGACCCCGAAGCATAAAGTTAATAACAAGATTACAAGTGTTGAAGTTCTTTCGCATCTTCTCTTGAGTTTACGGAAGATATTGTGAGGGGAGAAAGATGACCAGGCTGGGCCTTTTTCTCTGGGCTTTCACTCTTGGTACCTCTTCACAGGCATTCCATTCACTTTTGAAAAGGTGCCAAAAAGGACATTAAAGTCCTCTGAGGTTTACTGGGATTTTCAGTGTGGTCTATTTCATTGGTTCTTCTCTGGGACTTTTCTCTCACTTCTTTAGCACACTGCTTCCCTTTCCCTGGTTGGTGAAATGAAACACGGCTCCTCTCACAAGGTGGGGAGCCCCTTAACGCATCCTATATGCCACTTATAAATAACCGTTTTAAACTAGTTGAAATTCATATTAACTACAGCAGGAATGCAGTAAACTACATTCATGTGTTCTTACACAGGAAAAGTAGAATTGCCCTCTGTGATACGATGCCTATTCTGATACTGGCTGCCTGTGTCCTGAGCGTGCCTGTTTGTGCTCAAGTGATAGGTGACCACATAATTTACTTTATGGAAAACCAGGAAGTGATTGTTTATTGATAATGGGTTCCTTCATTGGTTCATTAGCCGATTCCCTCTTTGTTACCATGTGCTGAGCACTTTTATCAGCACTTTGATAAAAGTAGGATGGTGAGAATGATGAGATTTTATTGAAGATCGTTGTTTTGGGGCAGACCTTTCACCAGCTGTTTTGTGGATTTTCTCCATAGTTACATGTTAATGTACAAGACTTTCCCTGTTTGCAGGTCTACACAGTGTTGTGGGAGAACAGAATTATTCTGCCTTTCTAATACTTTCAGTAATAAACTTACAAGGATGACTGACCTTGGTGATTTGTGTCCTCTAGTGAATATTGTTATAGTTATTTTCCAGTGTACGAGTATAATAATTAGATAAGGACAACTTTTTAAATTGTTCCGTAAGAAGGACCTAATATTAGGAAACATGGAGAGTGTAAAGGATGATGTACTTAGAAAAATAAATACAAAAGTAGACCATTAACTTGCATGGGTTTCTGTGCATTTAGCCTCATTTAAAAAACTAAGCTAGAATAGTTCTCTTGTCTTGTTATGGTTATAAAAGTAATATTAAAGTTAAAAAAAGTTATTTAGAATTAAATCTGGGAGGGACATAAAAGGCAAAAAACGAGTCTCCTATGAGCCCACTCTAAGATGACCACTTAAAAATTTGATGTTTATTTCTTCAACTTTTTGTTCAATATGTACACACACTAAATGTGCAGCTTAAGTATATGTTAAACATTCACACGTATTAGCTACATATTGTATATGGAACATGTGGAATATGTTTATATGTATATTGTTATTTGGTAAAATTGTACATTTCTTCCTTTTTCCCTTTCTTCTTGGCTATTTACCACCACTCCTCACTCCACCCCAAGACTTCATGTAGACGTACCATGACTTTTATAGTGTTTTGGATATGAGCTTGATTTCTGACTCTTATTTTATTAGCTGTGTCATTTCGGACCATTAAAACTTCTCTGTTCCTTGATTTCTTATCCATCAACACAGAACAAAGACTACATGAGAAAGAATGTGTGAAAAAACAGTGCGTGGCATATAAGTACTTACTTTAAAGTTCCCTCCCTGTTTCTCTGTGTGGTCACCCATCATTTTCTTATGATCTTCCTCTTGATTGTGAAAAGCCATGTAGTACCTAACTTACCCATATTGTTAAGCCTACCTGGGGTTTGCTTTTCACAGGGGATCACCTGGTATATCTGATCCTAGAATTTCTGGGACAACGACTGACACCTGATGTGGCCTTATCAGATCATTCCACAGACATGGATAAAGTATGTCAGCTTGAAAAATGAAGGGAAAGAAGTTCTATAGTGTGTTTAAAAAGCCACGACACTGTCCTTAAAGTGAGAAAGACATACTACTGTATTCAGCTGAGTACTTAAACTTAGGATTTCTATTTCGGAAGTGTCTTTGGTTTATAAGACTTACAATAAAAATGCTGATGCTTCATGTCCAAACTGTCATGATTTTGTCAAGTTGTGGATTTAATATACAGCTAAGCTGTGTGTTTAGTATATCTAATACTGCTCTGGAAGCTGAGAAAGACAAGTTCACAGACATCTGATTTCACACCAGACATCTGGTTTCACTTTACTGAGGAGTACGTTTGTCAGCAGATTATAGGCATATCAACTGTACCGCGTTATACTTTCTAGCATTTCTGTCTGTAAGCTATGGTCTGTAGGATTTAGTATGATTTTTTATTCAAATGACAGCCCTCTGGAAATGAGCACCTGGTCAGATAAGCACATTTCCCACAGGTGTCTTCTTGTGTCATCGTTCTTATAAGTTACCAAGGTGAAAACATTCTATCCTTGGTGGTATTTATATTTTTTGTGGAAGCAAGAAAATATTCTTAAAAGCCTTATTTAAGAACCTGTTATATCCCACAAGTTCATTTTCAGGTCTATTGTTTGTAAAGTTAACAGTGTACTGATAGGAATAAGTAGCATTTAGATTTCTAGGTCAGAACCCCAGGAAATCTAACACTTATTTTTTATAGGTACTAAGGAAAGCTTTTTAAACTCTTTGTGTGCCTGTTGTATATTAGTGTTACTGTAGACTCTAATCGACATACATAATAGCATTTTGGAGGCAAATGTCTTCTGAGTGCTAACCTGAAATGGTTGCACCATGTCTCCCTCCATTTTGAGGTAGTGAGGGGTATACAAAAAGCTCTGGAGGTTGTCATTCTTAGGTTTTCAGGCGGTCCCTGTCATTGCTTAGCTGTTGACCTTGGACACAAATTCCTCTTCTGTATGTGGGATGATTACTCATGATTACTGTGAAATTCAGTGAGTGAGTGTAACATAGCACAATATCTGCCATAAAATAAATGTTCAGTAAATAGTTGTTTCATTTTTCCTCACAATCCTGGGCACAAGAACACAGACACCCTCCCACTCGCTGCACTGGCATCCAGACTAAGACACTGGCTTGGAGTTTTGGCTCCCTGGAGAGGAATTACTCATAGCTTTGGGGATTTGGTAGTAGAGACTTAGAAAGGGTCATGCAGAATAATGACAAAGGAGAAGGAGTTGTGAACTGAGAGAAAGCTGCGTCTTTTGTTCAGTCCGTGAATTTAGGTCAGTGAATTACTTGGTTCCTAGAAAGAAGCATCTTTTTCTCTGGCTTCTCTGTTTATCTTTGTCAACTGTTCCATTGGAAACTCTTAACCTTCTTATTGTCTACTTAGTCCAGTAGTAAGTTTTTTTTCCTTGATCATACTACCTGAATGGCCATGTTTTTCTATTTTTTTTTGATGGTTAAGACTTAGTAATGAATGTCTGTACTACAGTAATAGATATCTATACTGCAGATATCTGTACTTTCTTAAGATCTGGTGGTTTTTTTTTTTTTTCTATACTCGAAGTCCAGTTGATTTTCTTGTTCTTTCACGGGCCTATACCTTATTCATTAATCTCTCGTCTCCTTTTTTATTCTGTCTGTCTGCATGGAACTAGTAATGTACACGCAACTAGTGACTGTATGAATTGAACTAGTGATGAGGATATAAAGATGAAAAGTTGTTGTCTTTGACCAAGGATCTTGTAGTCTAATAGGACTACAGCTATCTTGAGCAATAGTTAAAGTGCAGTATGCTATTTACTATAACAGAGGTAGGTATAAGTGCAAATGAAATCTAGCTAGCGCTCTTGATCTCTGTCTGAAATGTCAGGGAAGGGTTTTAGCTGAGACTTGAAAACTGGGTAGGAGTGACGGGCATGTTGACAAGCCGTAGAAAACATTTCTAGGTAAAGCTAACAGCATGAGTAGTTGTGTGGCATTATGAGAACATAGTGTGTTCTGGCAACTATATGTTGGTCAGTTATATTAGAGTCTGAAGGACAAGGTCAGGAGTGAAAGGAGATGAAACTGGATAGCCAGTTCAGGATATATGTATATATGTATATGTGTGTGTATATATATATGTGTGTGTGTGTATATATATATATATATATATATATATATATATATATATAACCACTGAAGAATTGTGAGTGTCATCTCACCACAATTGTGAAGATCACTGAAAGCAGTGTGCTGGGTAGATTGAGGGTGGAGTGGGGGTGGGTGTGGGGACATAGCAAGACTGGGGGCCTTTAAGGACAGTTCATTAGTATGGTTAAGAGAGGTTGAAAGCTTAGATAAAGGTGGAAGTAGTGGGAATAGAGAAGTGAGAATGTTTGAGAAAAATAACGGAGAATTTGCTGGTCTTTGTGACTGTTCGAATGTAAAAGGTATGGGAGGGTGAGGATGTTAGAATGCTTCCTAGATTTCTGGCAGTGAATGGGAAAAGGAAGGGGAAGAAGGTATGAGGGGGAAGAGAATGAGTTCAACTTTGGACCTGCGTTTCACATGCTTGCAGGGAATATCATTGGCAAGGGGGAGATGTTTAGAAGACAGTTGTATATAGGATCCTGGAACACCACAGGAGATCCTGAAGGCTAGAGAAACAGATTTGTGTGTTCTTACCATATGGAGAGT